CCCTACACTATGAGTGCTGAATGATCATTTAGACATTTAGTTGTTCAATATGACAAGTCTACCATTTGTTAGCTTGACATATAGTAATTTATAAAGAAGTATTCTAATTTTACTTTTAGTTTATTCTCATTTTATACAATATTCATGATAGCAATTTGAATGGGGATATTCATAGCTATTGTGAGTAGTTGTGATTCAAATAAAACTACTTTGCATGAAGCATTACTATTGTTTTATGATGTATTAATTTTAATGTTTAAATAGCTTTTTCATATGTTAATATAACATAAACCAGGAGTTGATGAGAAATCCTTATTATACTGAGGCTGATACACACTGTTTTAGCTAATGTCTTTATATTTCCATTATCAACCCCTATTTTTAGACTACAAGGATTATTATTTGGACTAAGAAGCTGTCAAGTAGTACCATGTGTGTGATATGCTCTAAGTAACAGAAGTCCAAGCACTGATATATACTCAATATACCCAAGGATCTGCTAGTATTTATCTAATAAATTATGTATCTTAAATTCCAAATACAACATTATATTTGTATGCGTGCGTGCGTGTGTATGCGTGCGTGTGTGTATGCGTGTGTGTGTGTGTGTATGTATGTATATGTGTGTGTGTGTTTGTATGTATATGTGTGTGTGTGTGTGTGTGTGTACATACCCACACCCACTCAAACTCATTATTTCCCCACATTTGTTCATATGTAAAAATATAAAACTACTTGTATACAATAGTTCAATATTTTCCCAATTTTCCATTTGGAAAACTGACCCAACTTGGCATGAAAATTGTGCCTCTGCTACAGTGCCACCATTCTTAATGTACTTGTCTTTCATGTTTTCCTCCTTACCTTCATACTCTCCAAGAAGGATATGATTTACACTCTGGAAAATATTTCAGTCAATCATTTACAATTTAAAAATTTTAATTTTAATCCCACATGAAGAAGTTAAAAAAACACTATATATATATATATTTTTATTTATTTATTTATTTATTTATTTAAATCCTTGTCAGAAAAGCTGATGCTAAATGTCATTACTAAATATTTGGAGAAGAAGGCCAACAATTAAATTTTCCAAAGGCATTTGGGAAGCTAAATTCCATCTTCAAACATGAGTTGAAATATTTGAAATCTCACTGTAAAAATAATAAAGTATATGTGAATATTTTAAACCAAGGCCTGTGTTGTGTTCAGAAAAAGAAGAGAAAACTAACTTTAGATATATGATTGAAATGTGAACCTCTGAGAGCCCCTCATATTACTTGGATGATGGTACTTGACTGACACATAGATCTGCTTATCCAAACACAATGGTTTCTTCATGAAGGAACACTGTATTATAGACATTTTATAATTACTTCTTTATGAAGTCAATAGAAGAAAAAAACATTTTTTTTCTTCATCTATTTAGTTCATATATAAATTATTTCCAAAATAATGTGGTTAGTAAAATAATATGTATTTTAAGTTTTTTTTTTCTAACTAGTACTTAGATGTTCTGTCCCTGATATTATTTAAATCCTACAATCTGTGCAACTTAATTATGTAGTAAAATATCAGAAGAATATATTCAAAATGAATTTGATATGGCTATTCTGCTCAGCTAATTTATGAGCTTTCTAAAATTGTGGTTATTTGTTGGTAATTTTATGACTTCAGACACAGAACTTTAGTGCCAACCAAAAGTTTTCTTTTTTTGTGGGTAGTCAGAAACTGGATGAAATCATGAAGATTTGTGCTAAACAGCTAAAATTGCAACTTCCAGCCAAGGATAATGTGGTTCACTGCATTAAGGATGATCTTAATAAAACCATGTGTGGCAGACATGTTAGTAGATAAGGTATGTAATTTTTATTTTTTTAATAAATTGACTAGCATAACTGTAGTCTTTTCAAAAGCAAAGCAGCAAAATGTACCCAGTACAATTTACCTGAATATACTATAAGGAATGTCACTGAATATTTGAACATCTTTAACAAATCAACATTTAAAAAATGCCTAGAGTTAATGTAATTTATTATGCATGGAAAAGATGCTAAATATATTGGCCTTCAGCAGAAAATAATATAATGGTTTGATTAGTTTTAATTTAATTATTGTTGTAAGTGAAAGCTCCCTCTTTTACCACTTCCTCCATCCTTCAGTAACATTCCTTCTAGAAAGAAGTATTATTTAGCCAATTAGTAGGCTGTGAAAGAGGCAAAGCCATTAGAAGTTCCTGTTCATTCTCTTCCTTTTTTTTTTCTTTTTGAACTTGAACCATGCAGCCTATGCTCAAGTCCTCTGCCTCATGCCCCTTATATTTTATCTTTCCATTTTCCCAGCATCTCTTTAGGGTTTTGGCTGAAAAAGAAGTGGGGAAAATGCAAATGAATTAAACATAATTAGAAAAAGAGAGATTGTTAAAGCCCGTGACACACATTACATTTAAAATGGATTAACAGGTTAACTAGTAACTCGACCACACTTTAAATCTATTTAAGGTATGATAATATAGTAAATGAGCCACAAAGTTATTGAACATATAATGTGTAACATCTTTGTGGTTGTCTATAATATCATGCTTTAGATTGAACACATGGCTGGTCGGGCCATCCCATGGCAAATCCCAACACTCAGTTGAGTATCAGGATCCAGAATGGGGCAGCCCCAGAGTCCAGGACACAGCTGTCCCAGTAGCCCAATCCTGGGGTCCCTCTGTACAGGGACTTCAAAATCCCATATGCCACCCAACTGAGCAGCACATAGGGTTTGAACTCTTCCCTGGGCACAGGAACCCCAGGACTTGGTTGCCACAGCCAAATACTGGCATCACTGTATTCTGGGACCTTTAAAAACCCCAGCTGCAGTTTTGGCAATCAGTTGATTGTCAGCTGGAGCCCTGGACTTGACAGGCTGGTTTCAGGTCCCAATTCAGCCTCTGGCCCCAACTGACAATCAGCTGGTTGTCGGCACTTAAATTTCAACTTGCAGGTGCAGGGAGAGCCCAGGATCATGGTCACAGGCTCCTTATTTACTGAAAAGTAAGGCACAATAGAGATCTAATCCCTAATTCCAAAATTGTGCATCCTGCTTATGCATATGTGCCATGGCAGGAAGTACGATTGTTGAGATGCCTGCTTAGATTTCATTACACCTTAACCTGAATGTCTGTCAGAGGCCTACAGAATCTCTTGGTCTTGTGATTGTACCTTTCAAAGAGATGGGCTACCAGACTATTTTAAAGTGTAGCCTCTTTGACTTTAGAAATTAGGTATATTTCTGATTTATTCTCATCCCTTGCCACAGGTGATCAAATAAAACTCAAAGTATTTCCTTTTCTCTTTCCTTTCCATTGGATTATTTCTGCTGTCTTAGTTACAAAACAAGTGATCTTTCAGATTCCCTGTAGGGCAGCTGTATTTTCTACCAGCAAAAACTTGTTTTCTCTCAAGATTTTCGTTTTGCACATGGGGTATTGTGGTCAAGCACAACATTTTTCTGGCTAAGGTGTTAGCTTGTATGTTTTGAGATGGCATGAACATATGCTTCTTGATAATTTTATTTTGTATTCTTTACTATAGGTTTTATTCATGTCTTGCTTCCCCACTTACTCCATTGAGATCAGTTGGTTTAGATGAAGGGAAACTAACTTCACCAACTTCCTATCCTGATCCTTCTTTCCTGTTGAAAAGAGGATGTTCCCTTAGGATGGAAAGCATATGATGAACCAGAGATGAACTATACAGACCATTTCAGGTCAGCATATGATGAACCATATGATGAACCAGAGGTGAACCATACAGACCGTTTCAGGTCAAATTCTTGTTTCTTTTCATTGACATAGAAAAAACAGGTTTGAACCATCAAACCTTAAGCTTTACTACTGAATTAATGTACATTATTCAAAGCCTGTTTGATTGGTAGTGGGAAACAGTAAAAATATCAGGCTGTTAAGTCAATAGGGCTGAGTAATTTGTGTCTGTGATTTTGATTTTATATCATCCGTTAATCAGAAATTATAAACTGAATCTTGATTTCTTCTTAAAACTGGTATTTGGGCGGAGGGGGAACACTCCAAGCAACTTTGTAAAGTTTATTCTTCTACTTATGTATGTTTCTGCTTGTTACCTCTGCTATATGTAAGGGATATTGTTACTGATCAGAGAGCAAGGAAGGGAAATGTACATTAAAAAAACCCATCGCTTATAAATAGTGTTCATTTATTCATTTATAAATAGTGTCCCTTTTTCCCCCTCAGTCTGCTTGCCGTCTTCCTGCATGTATGGTGGTTTGGAGTAAAAATGTTACTGTGTTTTCCTATCTTCTTTTCATATGTTTCTTTATTTTATCCTAGAAACATCTAGACTGAGGGAAGTGGTAAGCTGCTGTCTTTATACTTGCCTTGATTGTCAAGGCATTTTAGGTATTTTTTTTAAACTTTGTTTCCTGGTAGTTGTGGCAATAAGAGTTTAGAGAGTCTCCTGTAGGATGGTGGTGGAGGAGGAATATAACAAATACAATTAGTGGTAATTTTCCTATCTTAAAATTTTCTTCATGCTGAAAGGCAAATAAATCTTTTCACACTGCCACATCAACAATGTTTAAGTAGGGGTAAAAAGCTTTCTACTTTGTGGGTGAGGCTGATACGGTTTTGACAGATGTGAATGCTTGGCATACTCATCTTTAATTACCACATAGAATTCTTCAATACTCTTCTTAAAGCAAGACTCAGTAAAAACAGTCTTTAAGAAATAGTAAAACTTTGTTTTGGATTAAGCTTACTGTAAAAGATGATTAAGTTGATTTTTGGCCATTTTTATACCATATGTCTGGTCTGTCTGAACATAATCATTGCTATTTAATTTCAATAATTTTTCTCTATTATAGTTGGATGAAATCATTTAAAATTAACATTTCTTATCCCAGTGGATCTGTGGATTTGCTATGAATTGAAAGAACATTTAAATATACCACTAACTTGTTGCCAACATGCATTTTTGTTAATATTCATGTTAAGTAAGTTAAGCATTAGCATACTACAAAGTATATGACATTGAGAGACAAACTTAAATCTTGTTGCTACTTTTTAGTGTCTTTTCATTTTGCTTCAATTTGAAAGAAGTAAAAAACGAGGAGCATCTGTTTGGTGTTCACTCTCTGAATTCAAGAAAACTGGTTAAATTGCCATCAGAGACATCCTTATAATGAACCTTCATGCAGCTATAGAATTAGCATAGAAACATGCAGAAATTGTAGTCTGAGGTATTGTGAATTCTTTATATTTGGTCTGTGTAAAATCCTAATCTATTTACATGATACACATGAATGAGACATGAAGAAAAATCCAAGTCTGCTTCTCTTAACTTTGTGCATCTGACTTTCCTGACTGGCAATGTTTGAGAGTGCTGTAAGGAATTCTTCATTCAACACTTGAGCTTGTATTCTGACCTTGCTGGCATTAAATGTGTAAGAGAACATTGTTGTCTTGGGAAGATTCACGTGTTTAGCAGTCAGATTCTTTGGAAATCTTTTCTTTATTTCAGCCAGAGATTTTAGAGGTTTTCTATTTATTCAATTATCATCAACCCAATGATGTCTTTCTAAATTGACATTTTAGTGTGCTTTTCTTGATCATGATTGCAAGCTTATTAGTTGATGCAAAATTAGTCTCTAGAGCGGGGGTGTCATAACACAGTTCAGGGGCTGAATTTAGCCTGTGGTGCTGCTTGCTCCAGCCCACTGGTCTACTGAGAAGCAAAGAAAGTTGGCAGGGGTGGCCTACCACAGAATTCAGAGCCCATCAGTGGCAGGACACCATCTCCCTGTACTCTGGGCTGAATCAGCTGCTGATACTGCATGCCTTGAGCCAGATCTGTCCCAGGGAATGGAGTGAACTTGACCCCGTTGCTCTAGAGAACCAGTGAGTTGTCCACATAGCACTTTGGATTTATAGTGAGAGTCTACAATGATAAAGCATAGAGGGAGAGGAGATGTAAACCAACAACAGATTCTTTGGGACATGAACAGAAATCTTGAGGAAGGATGGGGAAAGGGACATGTTAAAGAAAGAGGTAGGTGGAGAACCAGGATTGGATGAGATCAGATGCTGGAAGTTCAAGTTGTCATTCTTCCTGCAATACAGATAATAATGCCTAAAATCCCCAAATGTGAACTCTGTTTTGCTAGATACTATACAAATGAGACAAACAGGTGCTTATCACGTTAAGCATAAAGCAAAGGTTGGAGAGCTGGGAATGATTGCCCTGCGCCATTCCTCATGTGCAGTTCCTGGGACTCTGGCTGGCCCAGCACTGGTTGGTGCTACCACTTGCAACTCCCAGGACTCTGGCCAGAAGCCATGGGGAGCTGCACACCATCAGACTGGTCTGGACCAGCTCTGCCTCCACCTCCATGGGGCACCTGGCACAGAGCTGGCCCAGCCCAATGGTGCATGGCTTCCCATGTCTCCTGGCACTCAAGCGGGGAGCTGCGTGTAATTGGCTTGGGTTGGGCCGGGTTGGGCCAGCTTCATACTACCACATGCAGCTCCCGGTACTCTAGCTGGGATCCGCACAACATTGGGCCAAGTTGACTCTGTGCCTCCATCTGCAGCTTCCTGCTAGAGTGCTGGGAGCCCCTGCTAGAGGCCCAGCCTGATGGTGTGTGGCTTCCCACAACTTGCAGCACTCTATTAGGGAGCCCCATGCTATTGGGCTGGGATGACTCCATGTGACCACATGTCCCCCCGCCCCCCCAGCCAGCAGCCACAGGAGCTGCACGCCATCAGGCTAAGTTGGGCCAAACCAGCTATGTGCTGCCACATGCAACTCCTGGCATTCCAGCCGGGAGTCGCCTGCCATTGGGCTAGGTCAGGCTGGCTCTGTGCTGCCGTGTGCAGCTCCTGGGACTTGGATGGAGCCATGTGCCGCCTGGCGGGCGGGGCTGTGCATGGTGGGGGTATGTGGAGGCCCCCCCCCCCCCCCCCCACCATACCCACATATCTATACCTGCCCCCCCAAAACCTCACACCTACACTTACTTGATAGTGGATTATATGACATTGAGCCAGAATTTCTGTATTCTGTCCCTAGGTTTATGAGAATTGCGGTTCCTAAATGAAAGGAAGGAAGATCATTGTTATTGCTCCAGAGAGAACTGGAATGTCATGATGGCACTCTAGACTGCTCTCATCTACTTCAATTCATTTCTTAAGTTTCCTTTAAGGACTGTCATTCTCAAATTTCAAAACTGTTTTAAAGTCTGTGTTAGTCCCAAAGGAAGAGTATTGGATCTCTCTTGGATCTGGATCCATATTTACTCACATGTACCCTTTCCCCCAAAATCAGTCCTCCAAAATTGGGGTGCATATATTAAGCAGGGAACCTTATTTTTCTTTCCTGGAATAGAAACAGGGAGAGACTGTGCTCTAATGACTTGCAAAATGGCTGCCCCTTTTTTATGGCTTAACAAGCAGCAGGGGTAGAGTCTAGTGTTAACCCTCTCAGAGCCACTTTTGGCTGAGCACGTAGCATATGCCTGATGCATTAACTGGGCTGGTGTAAGGCAAGTGAGCTGCTGTATGCACCTGTAGAATCATGATGAGGGATCTGAGTTTTCTGTTTCCCATGGAAAAACAGAAAAAAATGTGAATTTTCCCTTTTAACAGAGAAGAAAAGCAAATTTTTCATTTTAACAGAGATACCCGTGGATTTTCCACTTTTGCAAAGAGCTCTCTGCAGGCTGGCAGAGTTCTATCCTGCAAGAGCTTCTTGTAAAAAGGGTGGCAAGCCCTAAGCCCTGTCCCAAGGGGGTGGGGGAGGGGAAAGAGCTGGGGCCTAAGACTCTGTCAGCTAGGGCTTGGCTTAGACTCACCTTCTCTCCTGGTGCCTTTGAGGTAAGTGGGGCTTGCAGTGGCCTGGGGGCCAGCTGGGGGCCCCCTTTGGTGGGGTTGGAGGTCTGCAGGTCAGGGATGGTGGGGGCAGCAGAGGGGCTGCAGGGTGCCCTGTGGTGTAGGTGTGGGTGCAGGTGACTGCCAGGGCTTGGGAGGGTTGGGAGCTTGGAGAAGAGCCTTACCTGTATCCTTGGGAAAATACTGGAAAAAATCATCAAAGAGCACATTTTTGAAGGCCCAGCAGGGGAAATGATGCTGAAAGGAAACCAGCACGGGTTCGTCACAGGTCGAATCTGCCTGACAAACCTTATAGCCTTTTATGACCAGGTCACACACTGCCTTGACACAGGAACTGAGGCTGATGTCATCTACCTGGATTTTAAGAAGGCCTTTGACACAGTTTCACATCCTATTCTCATAGGGAAGCTAGCAGGCTGTGGAGTGGATGCTTACACAGTCAGGTGTGCGCACAGTTGGGTGGCCAACTGGCTTGGAGACTGTACCCAGAGAGTGGTGGTAGACGGGTCATTCTCATCCTGGAAGGAGGTGGGCAGTAGGGTCCCACAGGGTTCAGTCCTTGGAATGATGTTATTTAATATCTTCATCAACGATTTGGATGAGGGTGTGGAGAGCACCCTCTCCAAGTTTGCAGATGATACCAAGTTATGGGGCAGAGTTAACACAGCGGTGGGAAGGGAGCAGATACGGGCCGATCTGGACTGGTTGGATCAATGAGCAGAATGAAATAGGATGCAATTCAACAAAGATAAATGCAAAGTACTCCACCTAGGGTGGAGGAATACCCAGCACACCTATAGGTTGGGGGATGACCTCCTCAGCAGCTCAGTGGCTGAGAGGGATCTTGGAGTTATAGTTGACTCCAAGATGAACATGAGTCGGCAGTGTAATGAAGCCATCAACAAGGCCAGTCGCACCTTGTCGTGCATTAGCAGATGCATGACCAACAGATTGAGGGAGGTGATGCTCCCCCTCTATGTGGCATTGGTCAGGCCATAGTTGGAGTACTGCATCCAGTTTTGGGTGCTGCACTTCAAGAGGGACATGGAGAATCTGGAGAGGGTTCAGAGGAGGGCCACTCACATGATTAGTGGCCTCCATGAAAGACCCTACGCGGGGAGGTTGAGGGATCTGGATCTCTTCAGCCTTCACAAGAGATGTCTGAGGGGAGACCTTGTAGCCGCCTATAAGTTTATCAAGGGAGGA